CCCACCCCTCCCGGCAGCATCACACCCCCCCACCTCCTCCCCCGGTCCACCGGGCATCTCCCGACCGCACCGCCCTCCGCAGTTTTCCCCTTTCGGAACAAAATTGGGAGGTGGGGAAAAAAACCCCAAAACAAAACAACCAAACCCCAAACCACATCGGCGCGCATAAACCCCCCTTTGAAAAAGTTCACGCCTCCCTTCAAGCCTTCCCCCCCTCTCCCCCTTCTCCAGGCACCACCAGCTGCCTTTGGCACAGAGGAAGAAAATATTTTAAGATAAGTGGCCCGGGCTGCGATGCCACGCACCTTTCTGTGGGGAATCTTTAAAATAACTCCCCGGGCTGCCTGGGACTGGTGATAATGGGAAAGCGGGTGAGGAAACTCCTGTCTGCTTGACTGCGCCTTGCTTGAACAAAAGGAAACCTCCAGAGTCGGGAGCTGATTACTCCCTAAGTCTGTATTTACGAAGCTGATCAGCGAGAAGAAAGAATTTAAGGGTTGTTGTTTTGTTTTGGTTTTTTTTCAGTCGGGGATTTTGTGTGTCCCCTCTCTCGCTGTCACCATCCCCACCCCCGGTTGGGACAACGCAACGGGACCGGGAAAACCCTTCAATTTTACTCAACTCCGGGGGGGTGGGGGAAACCCCAAAGACAAAACCCCAACCAAATCTCAGCCGATTCCATCATCCCGGAGCTTAATTTAGCTCTGGGCACCTCCTGAATGTCGCTCCCGGGAAAAGCAAAGCTAAAGCCCAGTGGAGGGGACAGAGGCGGGAGAAGGGGAGGGCAGAGGGGACAGCCAGCTTTTCCCAGCTCATCCCCAGTTCCCACCTCGGCTTTAAAGGTTTGAACCAGCCCAGGCAAAACCGGGACACCGGCAAAAGCCACGCAAGGTTTGCTTTGGGGGTTCGGAGATTTTGATTTATTTAATTTTTCTTTTAAAAAAGAGAGGGGTTGAAAACTTGGAAAGATCAAGGGAAATAATTTAAAACCCAGGGCCCGTTTTATTTTCTCTTCTTTTTCTTTTTTTTTTTCCTTTTTCTTTTTTCTTTTTTTTTTTTTTTCTATTAAGTAAAATAAAATGGGCGCGTTTGCAGCAGGCAGGCGTGCACAAAGCAATGTTCACTGAAGTCTAAAAGCGTTCGGCCAAGGAAAACTGACAAGACGGACTAATGAACCGTAGAGACGGGGAGAAAATAGCCAGTATTTGCTAGATTTCAAACCCTCTCCGTCTTCCCCAGACCACCTATCTCGGATTTTATTCCGATTTTGGGAAACGGCTCCAGCCCTTCCTTTTCCTTAAGCCAGCGAGAAGCCAGCGATCCCCCGCTAACCGCTCCTACGATTGTAAAGGGTAAATAAAATCAAGACAAAAATTAAAAGCGACAAGAAACAGGTCGAGTTTGCAGGCGATGCTTTTACAAGCTCATCTCGCCAGGTCGAATCCGGGAGCAAGCCTTAATGAAGCAATAATAGCCACATTATTCAAAAATTTTCATTTCGATGGAAATTTATCTAAAAGGGACTTAATCATATGCAAATAATAAAAGGAGGCGTAGTGACCCAAGCGAGCGATCTGCATACAAATTTCAGCGTGTGCGGCGTTGGCGAGATCATACCTGATCTGTTAGATTTGCTGATCTTGTTATGTCTTCACTGTCCGATTTTGATCCGCCCTCTCTATCGTCTATGACCAAATCGATAGGCATTTTTCCTTTCAAACAGCTAATATACCGGTGGCAGAAATTGTCACATAATTCGTGTACCTATATTATGACAGAGGGTTGGTTGGGTTTTTTTTTAAAAAAAAAAAAAAGAGGGAAAAGAAAAAAAAAAAGAGGAGGGGGGGGAAAAAAGGAAGAAAATATAATCAGGAATACATAAGTAAAATTGACAAGTGCAACCAGTCTCCCCCCTTCACCCCTGTGACATCAAAAGTCCTAAATAGGGGAAACACACTGCAATTATCCCCCCGAGACCTCTAGACGCATCCAGAATTAGGAATAACTTTCTTTTCTCGCAAAATAGAGATATCCCAGAAAATTGACAGTGACAAGATGATTCACAGGCTACAACATATTCAACACCCGTGTTAAATTCATCTGCTCCCGGAGCTGTGGCCATTAGAGAGGTGACCTGCATGGGTGACATTTAAGGTAAACTATTTAATTTCATCCAGTTATTTCATCATAAACCCTTTCCAAAGGGGGATGAGGACAGCAAAAAGGATTGGGAAAAATATAAATAATAATGATAATAATAATAATAAAAAATAAATAAAGCCCGACGCGCTGGGCTGAAATACATTACAGGCATCCCTGCCCTGAAATCCCCAGTTGCTCCGATAGACTCGTACCTGAGCTGCCTCGATTAACGGGCAGATTTTAACACATTTCGGGTAGAGCGAGAACAACCTGCCAGTGGCGGTTAGATAAAGTGGCTGAGGCTGCCGAGAAACTTTTCAACTATTTAAAAACCTCTCAAAATGTTTATTTTTAGGAGAAAGGGAATTCTCTTCTAGGCCAGCTATCAATGACACGTAAAAAATCCGCAGGAAACCAGAGCGCACTTCCAATTTAACGTGAGCTCGGGTGACACCGCCTTCTTAGAAATTAGCATTCTCCCTCCTAAGATTTCTAAAATAGCCAGGAACAACAAAAAAAAAAAAAAAACCCACCCAAAAACCCAACCCCAAAGCCACCCCGCATTTAGGCTGCAATCTCTTTCTTCTGCTCGGAGGTGTACAATATTCCCAGGAACAAGAGACAGACAGAACTATCAACTCTGCTTTGTCTCTGCAAAATGTTACAGGACAATCCGTGCCCTGAGCCTGACCTGCAGATGGCTCTTAAGGAAAGAAAAAAAAAAAAAAAAAAAGAAAAAAAAAAAAAAAATAAATTAATAATTCCCCCATCCCAACTAACTGTAACCGAAGTCTCTTCCACCGCTGAGAAAAAATAACTTTTTTTTTTTTCTTTTTTTTTTTTTCTTCCCCCCAAAATCCCAATTTCAGGGGGGTTTGGCCGAACCCACCGTTTCGAGTCTCATCTGCGGCACCACAGAACTGCAACTATTTATACAAAGCCAGCAAAGTATTACAATGAACACAAGGCCTGGGCGTTTGAGAGCCCGGTTTTAGAGGCTGAAATTGTAATTAAACTGCGAAGAGAAATGGACGCCAAGATTGGTCTTGACACTAATTACCAGAAAGAAAGACATTTATGCAAATTTACCAGAAGCCTGAACTTCAGCGGTACTGAAACGGAGGAAGGAGAAAGAGAGAGGGAGAGACAAAAATTACCTTCTCTAATTCCAACAGATGAAACCTTAATACTTGTATGGCTTGAATCATCTGCAAAGACACAAACAAGACGAGGATTTATCTCGTTCCTGGATTTGGGGATATTTCCCACAGCCGCCCCTGCCGCACTTTGTAGCTTGACTTTTCTCTAGTAGTAAATAAAAAGTTGTTTTGATTTATGGCAATAACACTAAAACTTAATAGCGGTGGCTTTGTGCGCTGTTTAACGAGAAGCGATCTCGAGAGTTAACCAAAAAAAAAAAATTAAAAAAAAAACAACCAACCACCACCCCAACCAACCCCCAAACCCCCCATTGCAACGAAGCGACTAAATTATACGGATCATAAACGTTTCTTTAAAAAACAAACCCAAACAACCCTCTAAACGCCAGCGCCGGCTCCTCGCTTTGTAAAAGCGGGGAGCACAACTCCTACGGCAGGGGGGGGAGGGGGCAAAATATTTGTTTACCCTGAAGGGAAGGGGGCAAAAAAAAAAAAAATAATAATAAAGAAAGGAGAAATAAGACCTCATTTTTGGTGAGTTAAC